TTCCGCAAGCCGAAATAACAAAAAATCGTCGATAAAGTTAAATGCGTGCAGCTGCGTGATGCCTACATTTCCTTAAACCGATCGGAATCTACTAAACGGCGTTCAAAATATTTCCCTCAAAATTACATTTCCTGTGAATTTGAACCGATTCGGACCGATAGATTTTGAGAAATTTTGAAAAATCTTAAAAAAATAAGAAATATTTTTTTTTAAGTGGTTTCTTTATCGATCAACTTCAAAAACTAATCCGCCTTTGAGCTTGAAAAACCACGTCGATCGCCACCAAGCTGGTCAAAAGCGGTTGATTCGTTCGAGAGATATCGTACATGAAAGAAACCCGAAAAAGTGTTTTTTCGGGATTACTCGAAATTTGTGGTTCGATCAATTAAAATTGCAAAATTACTTATGAGAATGATAAAACTGCGTCGAATGCCGCCAACCGCGTGAAAATTGCTTGATCCATTCAAAAGTTATTGCGGTTTGAAAATTCCAAAAATAGTGTTCTATGAAACTTCTATCAGACTTTCGAGCTGGGAGAGCTCAAATGCATAGAAATGTTATTTCTTTGAACTCAGCGAGCTCAAAATATCAATTTTAAGCGCCCAGGAATGGAATTAGCGGGAAGTTGCAGGGATGGCCCTTTAGGTGAACCGTTTTTCTATTTTTTTTGTCAGATCAGGCGAATCCCTCTAGATAATCGTCAGATTATGAGACAGTACGTTTAGAACATAAAGATGAACCACATATATCTTAATCTGACGCGCTTGAGTATTTCAAAATTGCGATTTTTTTTTGCAAATTAAGAAAATGGCTGTGGGTTTGCGTCCCATCGAAATCGTCAGATTAGTGAATGAGAGATTTTTTTGGTGCACTTAACACTCCCTTAGAAAATCTGACGCGCTCGATAAATTTTTTTTTTTCATTTTCAACCCTTAAATACAACCACCCGCATCATGCAAACGATCAGATTAACATACGTACATTATTAAAAATACGTAGGGCATAGATGCTATCAATATCTGACGCGCTCGAGGATGTCCATGCAACAGTTTTTTTTACATATTTAACTATCTATAGCCGCTTCCCCCACCGATGAAAAGGAATTTATCATATAACATTTTTTTTCTTCTTTTTATCTAAGCTTTGTATCCCAATAGGTCTCTACGACGCTCGAGTAAATCCCCATTTAGCATCCCCCTCCATAATAAGAACTTGCCATAATTGCATCATATCATCAAGTATTTGTCTTTTTCATCACAGCGTTAACTCAATTTCAGAGAAAAAGATGAAAGAGTACTTTAGTGAAGAGTGCGGACTAATTTAGTTTTTATGAATATGGGGTATATAAAATAATTAATTTTTGAGTGTGATTTATTAAACAAAACGAAAAAGAGACAGCAAATTCCTTTAGTGGACATACATAAAATATTGTAGTATTGAAAACTAAACTACAAAAAAATACGGTACATAATATATCATCTGTATTCATAAAGTACCTAACGTATTTTTAATAACTTTAAGTTCTAAAAGAATGGTTCTAGAAAGATTATCTTATGCTTAAAGGATGCCGCAGGGGAAGGGGAGGTTATAGGTAGCTTCTCCCCCCACCCGACCTAGAGAATTGAATCGTTGTTTTTTGATTAATTTGTCATAATTAATTATTATTTATTATCTTGGCAAACGGCGACACTCTTCATCTGTTTGCCTTTTAACAAAATTGTCATAATATCTTAACTAGACTTTAATAAACTGTACAATGTTTTAAAAGACAAAGGAAAACCTTTACACACAAAAATAAAACAAACAATTCACTATAAAAATCACAGTCGTTTATTAATAATCCATAAATACTGGTAATTAAGATACCGACGAAGAGAATTATGAAAGATAGCATAATTAAAATTTAACTATTACAACTAGAATGTAGTGAACCGCGAATAAGATATGTACGCCTGCCATTTCTTGCTCTTAGTCTGTCAAAATCGAAAACTTATTTGCGAGAAACAGAACGTATTAAACTTGAATAGCTCTTAATGTATTGCAAAGGCGAAAAACATTTATAACGTGTATTATATACTTCATAAGTGAAAAATGTAACTCCTTCACTTATATAAGAATTATAAAATTCATACACTAAAGCTTAGGTTCCTAGAAAAGCGGTGCCGTTATCTAACGGCCGTAATGTAACGTTGGGTGACGTCACCTATACGTTGTCTATAACATCGGAATAGGTTTTCTAGAGAACGTTGAGTGTCACCGTAACGTCAAATAGCGGTGCTGTCATTTGCATGACGGCCGTCATAGCGGTGATAAACATTAGTGCAACGTTTTTCGCATGTAGCGGTGCCCATATTTAATAAGTACAATGAGTGGAAACGTGACTTGGACGAGTGAAAATGATTTATTTTTTGGATTAGGCTAAAAAGTAAAGACGGCCGTTATTAACAACCGTAAAATGACGGCCGTTAGTTAACGACACTCATCAATCTTGTATTATATCACAAATATACTTGCATTTTTCCTACATTATTCACTAAAAACAGAACCTGGCCTATATTGACGTCTTAATGAACTAATTAAACATGCAAACGTAATAATCACGTGACTCAAGCCAAGCGATGAAATCAAAAAACCCCGTTCCATTAACAAGGTTTTTGACGATTTTAATAACCAATACAAATACTTATTTCAGTAAGATAATATCGTATTATGACCATTTTATAGGTCAGAGACGATGTAAGTGGTAAATAGATATATGTCCAAAGAGCAGGACAAAGTCACTTCCTAGTACAAAATCTGATTAATTTAAAGAAAGAGCCTTTTGACAGTGTGAATATCCATGGATATCACTAAACATCAAGTAAAGGCCCAGTTCTATACAAAAACAACCGGTACTTCGTATGTGTTAACTCATGGTAGGCTCCCTAATATTGTAAGACAAAATAAAACTATAAATAATCAAAACACGACACTGGCACCCTATTTCATAACTACATTGAACATATAAGAAACCAAATATCACATAGTACGTAACCGGCCTTATTATAAATCTTAAACTACGTACCATTGTTACCATGGTAACCATTTTACTTGGAAGAAATATGGTATAACACATATGGTATGCGTCCATGTTTTATAATAAGTCCGATTTTATAATAAAGTTAAAATACCAATTATTATACCTAACAAAAATACAGAGTATTAAATTCTAAATTGGTAAATACATTTAGAGAAATGTAGTCGAAGTGATATTTAAACTAATACGTAACTAAAGCAATAATACAAATATTTTTACTATTGTCATATATTATTACTAATTATAATATTATTTTTGCAATTTTCATTTATGATTTAAGGGTAAGCTTTAGAAACGAGACTTAACGTATGACTCTGAAAACTGTATTAGATTTTGACATATGGGAATCGTAGCTGTATGACTCTAGTATGTCAAAAACGTAGTTTTGACTTGCGGTAGTTATACTTAGCGTTAAGTCTCGACTCTGAGTATATAGTCTATAGATATTGATTAAATAGACTTCATAACATTTTTTCTATAGCTGTTCGCGCACTAAGCGTTACTGAACAGACAAACTACTGCCCTAACTTTTGTACTAACTTAATCAAGAAATCTGAGCCCTCACTCTGTAACTTCCAATAGCGAAAGCGATACCGACCCCTACATTTTGTATGCAAGTTTAATATAGTTCTCTCAATATCCGTCCTAACCTTTAGATAACGCGGAACAAAAACCTATCATTTAGACGGGATAGCTATTGGAAGTTATAGAGTAAGGGCTTAGGAAAAAATCACTTTTCGACAGCCATGACCCAGTGGTTCTCATAAAAATGGTCACGTGACAAAGCGTGAGTAGTCTTTCCCTTACAAATTCTTTTAGAGTTAGTTAGTGGGTAGCGGCCGTCGAGAAGTGATTTTGTCTCAAGCCCTGGTCTTAATACGAGAAATATATGATATTATAACTTCTATGATATTTTGTGACGGTTGTGATGAATTACAACAAATGTAGTACATACTAAAACAAATGCAAACAAATATTAGGTTGTTTATCACACAAGGCTAAAAGTTTAACACATTAAAGCACTAATGTGACTTAAAAGATGTCTAGAAAGGATTAATTTCTCTTATAGTTTCTTTCTAGTTCCTATTCATATAAAAATTGAGTGAAAGATCTAATACAAGTGCAGACTAATAAAAATCTTCTAAAGACGAGATATAAGAAATATGGAAACGCAATTCGTATATTAGTAACAGACTAAAATTTCATAGAGAATTGGTTTCTATTGTTTATTCTAAAGCACATACAAAAAATACAAGGCCAATTGTTATCGGATTTACACATCTTAGCCTAATAAATCTTTCATCACATCTTATCTACTCAGGTGAAAAGAGACAAAACATATACGTACGTACGTGTACTCACTGGCATTGTTACGAACTGGTCACTGGTCACATGACCGAGCGTGACCTTCAATGGCAACGAACTTTAAAGGATTAATACTATTGATTTGCCAAATACCTATTGTACTATGTTAAAGTAATAGTGAAGTATATTTATGAAGCTGAAGGAAAAAAATATAGCTCAATGTGTTAATATAAATTCATACAATAACGTGATTTTGACAGACTGAGACAAAGATACCATTAAACGTACGTAAACATCTACGAATGCAATGATTACATGAACATAATATCAATATTTAACTTAAAATTAAGTCATGGGCCCGATCATCTATAAAATCTTAACCTAATTACTTATAAACCATCGACTAAGTCGAACTGCATACTATAAAGCTAATTATTTCGAAAACTACATATAAACCTACGTCGACCACTAATTGCGCCGGCGTAAACAATAAAACTGACAGCTGTCAGCCGACATGTCATCTGTCAGATGACAATTGTCAGTTTCAACTGACACGGCAGTGTTGCTAACTCGATAAAATGGAAAGAATTATCACCGTAAATACAAAGCGGTTTGTGCTCTACTGCATCATTTTTAACTTGAATCTTAGAACTAGATAGGAGATTATTCTAATACCGATAAAGAACACGGTGAGAGCACCGATGTCTACCCAAAAGTTTGCGTCATTCATGCTCATATATTTGAGGAATTGGCTCGGCTTTCGGTAATGGCAGAAGTCGATGGAGCATTTGAGTTTTTCTCTGTCGTAGCCATATACGGATAGCATGGCTCCTTCGAATCCGTATCGAATGTAACTGACATATGTGAGCCAAGATAAGTATTCGGGAACGGCGTCAAAATTGATAAAGAAACCTGAGAATAGGACCACTGGGATTGTAGTCACGGGCCCGAGATAGACCCCCCGTTTCAATCTTCATAGCGGCTCCAATGAGAAGGCCTAGGGACTGGGCGACCAGCGCCGTGAGGATATTAACGGCCGCGAACTTTAATATCCGATCCAACTCCATCGGCTGACTCGTCATAAAGTACACGATTATTACGTAGACGCCGCTAAACACGATCTGAAATTTAATTGTGTGGTTAAAAGTTGGGGAAATAAAATTAAAGTAAAAATCATGTATCATGTTTCTTTTTTTTTAGTTTTTCTCTTTAACTAGGGTTGCCTGGAAGAGATCGCTTATTAGCGATAAGGCCGCCCGTTGCATCCCTTATAATTTTTATGTATTGTGTTTCTTTTATTTGCAACGAAGTGTAAATAAATAAAAAAAATAACCATTGACAATAAGGTTTTAATTTAGATATTAAAAACGTACTTCTTATTTTATTATTGTGTCTATTTTAAGATTGTCTATTCTTCTTAGGCTTGAAACTATATAAATGTACAATTGTTCAGTATCTATTTCATAATCTTAAACATCAAATCTTTATTATTTAATTTTTCAATACCCATTTATAAACTATGCCAAAAATCGTACACAAGAACAGAGTGTCTTTTTCTTAATAGAGACTGATGGTAGTTTTATTGGACACTTTCTTGTGTTCATATCCTTTTATACCTTAAGTAAGACTAGATCGTAATGTTAAATGATGACTGTGCAAGAAAAAATTAAAAAAACTAAACAAATCACACACATACAAGATTATTGATATCAGGAAAAACAATAAAAAAAAGCATACCTGAAAAGGCAAGTCCGCTATCGTCTTAGCGAAGTAGAACGCTTTGAGTGAATACCAATAATTCAGGTGCTCCCTCACAAACACACTCATCTCCATTGGGACTGAAATACAAATTGGAAGTTTAACTACTGTATTCTGTAGTATAATAGACAGTTATATCTTTCACTAGCCGTCTCGCGAACTTCCTTTTACCATAATATTATTTCTTTACCTAACCGTTTTTCTTTGTTCAAGGAAAAAATACTAGAATTGGGCCAGCCTTTGAGTTTTCGCCACATATTTTGCGATTCATTTTTATTTATCTAGTAAAAAATAGAAGTAAATTAAATTTGTTGAAAATCGTGGTGAGAAGTGTCTGCCTTCTGACCTGTTATGGGAATTCAAAATAACACAAAAACCCGTGACTTTTTAAAGATCTATTAGAAGATTTTAATATCACCACGGCTTCAGCTATGAAGAAAGTGTACTTTTTTTTTTTTATAAACTACTAGCAGACCGGCCAAGGTTTTTGTTATATTACATAGTAGCAAACTATTCAAGGGAAACGGTAGGAGAACACCAGTCTTGGGGACCACCATGCTTTTTTGGTGGTTATGCCATTAAATTGTAGCTTATGTGAAACGTTGGTACTTTCAACACAGCGCCATCTGTTAGAATTGTGACTATCAAATAATAAACAAATATTTTGCAATAAAATAATATTGCGGGTATAAATTGAGATGTAAGCTATCCTATCTTTTAAGTTGGATCAAACTACACACGGTGTGAAAATTTGATTGATATCGGTTCGGTAGTTTATGAGTCCATAGCGGACAAACAACGTGACACTTAATTTATATATATTAAGATTTAGTTTAACTAAAACTAACGGTATATGTTAAAATAGTAGTAGGTCTATCGAAATATGTCTTCATAGAGTCTACGCGGAAATAGACCGTCAACGTGGGATTTGAGATCAGAGTTTTTACGCTATTATAGTTCGGAATTAAAAAATTATTGTATATAATTTTTGTAATAATTTATACTGTGCATGCATTAATTCGCGTAACTGCCACGCCGATTCTCTTTCTCTGTAAGAAGATAATATACTTACATGTTAAAATAGTAGGCATCATAGCAGTAAACATTGTAAACATCACAGTGAAGAAAATACATCCAGCATTGCTCTGTACATTTGCAGCATCCATTCCAATATCATAATACAGCATTCCAATAAGCAAGCCGACGACTGTATGCGAAATTAGCCTTAAATGTGTGAGTGTTGGATCTCTTATAATGCTCTTGAAAGTCCGCTTCAATAAGATCCAAAACTGCTTCCACCCCGACGTTGGAAAGCCGGTGTGTTGGGGTTTCTTGTTGAAGCTCTCGTTGGAATCGAGAAGAGACGTGGTACAGGTGACTGGCGCAAGGTTGTTCGAGTTTGGAATCGGCGGTTTCTCGGCAGCTGGTTCCGAGCTTGAGAGATCTAGCACTGTGCAGGTGGGCTTGTCTGGAAATGGTTGGAAAAAGTTAGCAGTTAACGCAATATCAACACTATTTAGGACAATTATATTTAAAAGCTTCGAAATTTAGGATAATATAATTTGAGAATTTTTGTTTCATGAGATTGAAGAGCAGTGTTTTCCTAGTGTCCTTAGCGTGCGACTCTCATCCCTAAGGTAGTAGATTCAATCCCCGGCTGTGCACGGCAGTCTATGTGCCCATTTTTTTTATAGAACGGGGGCAAACGGGCAGGAGGCTCGCCTGATGATAAGTGATACCGCCGCCCATGGACACTCTCAATGCCTGAGGGCTCGCGAGTGCGTTGACGGCCTTTTAAGAATTGGTATGCTCTTTTCTTGAAGGACCCTAAATCGAATTGGTTCGGAAATACTTCAGTGGGCAGCTGGTTCCACAAAGTGGTGGTGCGCGGCAAAAACTGCCTTGAACTTTCTTAATTCCAATTTACCTCTTCCCTGACACGGAAGACACTAACCTGGCATGCCTCAGACCCAAAAAGTCGACGACATGCGTCAGGCACAGACATGCGGCTGATCACCAAGTATTACTATTAAGATCCATTACTAAAAGATTGTAGCGCCATTGTATTTTTTTGGAGAATTCGCGTTTGTTTATGTAATATAAAGGGCAACCAACAGATTTGCACCTTTATTTATACAGTAATGAATATGTACAGACGCAATTATCTGACACATCTTTCGTTTATATGCATTACAGTTTTGTTATAATATGTATTCGCGTCAACCTAAGACAAATAAATAATATAATTACGAAAATTAATTATGGATAGATAACCGCAATCATTGTAGCGTTAGTAATAAGTACGCAACATCAGGTCAACAACCTATTTCTTACCGCAATTGTTAGATGACTCATGCGTAGTACACAATAATGTCTCTTGTGGTTTTAATTTTAAACACTAAGCAGTCTTATTGAACTTTATAACTTAAATACTTCCGTCTCATTCTGTCAAATTATGTTCACGCTGTGATGAAAAGAGACATGAATATTTTAATTAGAACAGTGCATTTATTCCTATTAATAAGGGGATTATTCTACAGATGCTGGTCTATAGATATACTATGTATACATACTGCTATATATTTCCTCAGTTTTGCACCAGAACTATGTTTGGTTTAGAAAGGCTGAGAGACGAATGTAAGATTTTTTTAAGATTGATAAAATTTAAGTTTAGGGTATATATATAATTTAGTATGTATATTATAATTATAGTTTCGCGTTTTTTTAGGCTAGACCGACTCTTATGGAATTTTATATTCATATTCAGTAAGTCTGAGAATCGGCTACTATCTATCAAACCCTAAGTGACTTTTTTTGTTTTTATTTTTTTATGATACAGCATACAAAAATACATACAACCCCAAATGTTCACCCCTCTACGATCAACCCCTATTTTTATTATTGTAGATAGTTATTTTTATTGAACTAAATGTTTCCTAGAAATAATATACACGGTAAAACAAACGTTTGCCGGGTCAGCTAGTAAATGTATATTTTTGACTTTTATATAGTAAATTGTACTAACCGATAACAATCTCCAAGGCCTCCTTCTGAATGTTGTTCTTAGCCAGGTTGTTGTAGACACAATTGGAGGCAGAAGCAGAGGCGTGAGGCCGTTCAGGCTTCTTTACGGCTAGCACCAGCTTATGAACCCACTCGCCGTGTTCACCCGTCGCCACTTCCATTACTGGAAATCGAAATTAAAATTATAATAGAGTTACACAACCTGTAGAACCACAACCTCATGCGTTTTGGCATCACAATATCTGTATACGTTGTTTTTACAAGCAAGTAACATCTGTGTGCCTATATTTTAAGTAAGGGATTTCGGATCATGTAGATGCAAGTTTCACATTTAAAAAAATCAGTGGCGCTACAACCTTTTTAGGTCTGGGCCTTAGATTTCGCAAGTATTTGATCTAAGATTAGGCATTTGGGTAAACCGGTTGCCTCACGATGTTTTCCTTCACCGTTCGAGCGAATGTTAAATGTGCCCATAGTCAGAAAGTCAATTGGTGCACAGCCGGGGATCGAACGTACGACCTCAGGGATGAGAGTTGCATGCTGAAGCCACTAGGCCAACACTGCTCACTACTACCATGTAGCACATATTAAAGGTATTAGTCACTGTTGTAGACAAAGAACATATATATATGAAAAATCCTGAAGAATTGCGATTCTATATTACAAATAAGTCGTCTCTAGTACAAACTACAAAAAGTTACAATTAATGGTTTAAGCTTAAAGAATATTAGTTTCTTATCATATCTCTGCTTTGACGTGTCATTAATACGGCATAATTACGCATCTAAATAAAACTTACGAATTTAATCCCGATTTCTTCAGACTAATTACTTAGCTCGTGGTTTCTTACTTATAAATTCGAGTTAAAATTAAAAAAAAAACATAATTTACCGTAATCAGCTGGATTGTGGTAACTGGGACAATGCAGGCCCATCGTCGACATGAAAGGAACCAGATCCTTAACAGAACCCTGATATATACACTGTCCTTCCGCCAACGTGTACAAATTGTCAAACATCTCAAACAGCCTCGCAGAGGGCTGATGTATCGTACATATGATGGTTCTTCCACCTCTAGCTAGAGACTTTAGCAATGATATACACTGGAAACAAGAAGAACTGTCCAAACCCGACGTCGGCTCATCAAAGAACATCACCGGAGGATTATTAACCAACTCCAAAGCGATGGAAAGCCGCTTCCTCTGACCGCCAGATAGATTGATTGTTCGCGTGTCTTCCGCTTCTTTTAGACTTAACATAACAAGGATTTCGTCTATGACAATCTTCTTGTCGTTGACAGTCATGTCTTTGCCGAGTTTGAGGTTTGCGGACACCGTCATTGCTTCTCGGACTGTCAAGTGGGGCAGGAGACAGTCGTCCTGCATGATATAGCAGGATAACTTCCTGAAGCGTCGAAGATTCCTTTCTTTGCCGTTGATCAGAATTGAGCCACTCACGTTTGAGGTTCTGGAATACCATAAATTATTATAAGTCATAGAAGTTAATTCATCTTTTATCAATTTCACCGGCGTCGGCAAAACAAAAATGTTGTCAATGCAAAGACAATGTAAGTTTTAACCAATTGTTTATAATCATTGTGCTCGGGATATCAAAACGTTTAACTCGTAACACTAAAAACAAAAAGATAAATTGTATTAAAAACATAACATACACTTGCATGTTATCATATAATTAGCAAATTCTCGAACGGAAATGACAGCTCGCTGATTATTTAAAAAAATAAATTTATAATATTTTATTATGAATACTACTATCAGAGCGGGAGAACAGTCTACATAGATATAAAATAGTACAATTTTAAAATTGATTACTCTATATCTTACCTAATCTAATAAGTGTATGTATAAATATATATATGTATGTATATAGTGTATAATGTATATGCAATGGAACACTTATGGACCCCCCTTATGGAGTCCCAAACTCAAGGGAGCTGAGTGGGAGAACTGGAAACTCTCCACCACTCTTTTAAATAGCCAACTTTTTGGTTTACAAGAGAATTGTAAGGAACTGCACCCATATCATGCTTATAGATGAAATTTAATACACAAAATCTTACTTGTATCCAGCAAGGATATTCATAAGGGTACTTTTCCCGGCACCCGATGGTCCCATAATAGCTGTCAATTCACTGGACCTGAATGTACCATTGATGCACTTCAGTAGAGTTTTATACCCTCGCTTTCTTCCTTCACTAACTGAGTAAGAGAGATCTGAGAATTCTATGTCCACAGGCGGTCGCTTCGGCAGATGTGTGAGGGTGGCCATTGGTTTCTTCTGGCACGCAGAACCGTTGGGAATCTTCGGGACCAGAGCCATGGCTCCAGCTCCACCGTTGCACAAATTAATTTGTGAGCCCCTGGAATCACCATCACTCAAATTAGACATCACTTCAATTATATTAAGTATGTTTATAATAAAATAAACAAGAAAGTACACCACTCAGGCTGAAGCGTAAATAAAAAATGAGCACCTAAGGGCAAACCCATCAATATATAGATTTTAGAATGAATGGGCTTTCTCCGTTGATATGGGCTTTACCGAACGGTACGATTTGGTAGATCGTACCGTTGGGTCTGTTGGAAGTCTGATTCATGGGTTTGATCCAATAAGTGGCCTATTTTTTTGTTTACATTAAATACGAACTTAACCCGAAATTACATCCGATAAATTCAAGGTTTATATTATTTTATTATATTAGGTATTATTTTCGTATCAGAAATAATATGTGTGGCATAATGTTTTAATGTGTTAATTGTCTGTTGTCTGTCATTTGAATTAATTTACCTAGAGCACTGAGTTTGTTTTTATATATCGCTTTGTTTTTATATAAATTTCACAGTAGGTACCATTTTTGTTTAGAGCCTTATAAAAATTTCTAATCTAAACTTTGAAATAAGCCGGCCTGTGTAAATCTTATTAAGTAAATAAATTCTCGTGTCACAATGTTAGTACCCATACTCCTCCGAAACGGCTTGACTGATTTTTATCAAATTTTATATGCATATTCAGTAGGTCTGAGAATCGGCTACTATCTCTTTTTCATACCCCTAAGTAATAAGGGCTGTCCACCCCTAACATTTTATTTTTATTTTCTGGATGAAATTTTAATTTTTAATTTTTTTATAATGTTCCATTAAAAATACATACAACCCTAAATTTTCACCCCTCTACGATCAACCCCTATTTTAATGAACTAAAAAAATGTTTCCTAGAAATAATATACATGGCAAAACGACGTTTGCCGGGTCAGCTAGTAATTTATATAGTATTGTCACCATAACAAAAAAGGTAATTGCTTCAAAACCCACAACGCTTCTTCCGCAGACGAATTGCCAATAACTCTTATAACATGTAAGATAAAGAATACAAAAATATTACTCATGCATGTTTATAAACGGAATACGATTAAACGGGCTCACAAATTATTTGATATCAGCCATAAGGCACGTGCGGCTGCTTAACCTTGAACTTGGAGAAATGCTTACGTAACATTCTTTGAAAAATAGCTGGAATTCTTGGTATATTTTTAATTGGATGTTATTTAACATAGAAGTTCGTGCTAATTGAAGTTGTATGTTACATAAGAGTGTTCAGAGATGACAAGCACTGGATCTTTACTGAAAATTTATTTATAATTACCATTAAACATTAAACATTTCCTACAATACCTAAAATATTAAGTTTTTGGACTTTGAGCACAGGCTGTATGTTCTTTGTTTTACTCCTAGTCGCATTTTATAGTCTACTAGCAGACCGGCCAAGCGTTGCTGTGGCTAAGGTTTTTGTTATAAGATATAGTAGTAAACTATTCAAGGGAAACGGTAGGAGAACACCAGTTATGGGGACCACCATGCTTTATTGGTGGTTATGCCATTAAATTGTAGCTTATGTGAAACGTTGGTACTTTCAACACAGCGCCATCTGTTAGAATTGTTACTATCAAATAATAAAGAAATGTTTTGCAATAAAATAATATTGCAGGTATAAATTGCGATGTAAGCTATCCTTTCTTTTAAGTTAGATCAAACTGCACACTGTGTGCAAATTTGATTGACATCGGTTCGGTAGTTTAGGAGTCCATAGCGGACAAACAACGTGACACGTAATTTATATATATTAAGATTTACTTCTCCATACTTACGAAATTTTCAAAAAGGTCAACCAATACAAATGTGTGACATTAATAGAAGGCTTTTATGTTTTAAAAATACAAAAAGTATTTATTTATTTTAATACCCATCGAAGTGCCAAATTAGTAGCAGTAATAGTAAGTGATATAATTACTATTACTACCACTAATTTGGCGCATGCGTTTGGCTTGTAGGTAATCAGCCAATGTCTGACACATTTCGATATTTAATTCCAATTGTACGACCAAAGACATTTTGCTCATAGAGTCTTTCTTAGTTTTAAAAGCGTGGCGATTACCTACATCGTCGGAGTTACGTCCCGAGAGTATAGCCAGACGCAGTCACTCTCTTCAGCACTATAAGCATAGCATTTAGCATTTTAATTATTTTGTTGTACGTGAAGGGTAAATATAGAGTGGAAATAATTGCAAAGAAGTTGCAAAGAAAAATCCATCAGAGCACAGATCTAGTCGTGCTCGATAGTTTTTTGTTTCTCCATATAAAACATAATCACTTTCCAACTTATTACCATGTCGAAATGTAGCATGACGGTATAGTATGAACTACTGAGAGCTGGCAGAAAGCCAACATCGTTCGCATGCACAACCTTACGTATTCAATGTATTTATAGTACATACATGTATGTAACACGCTCATATGTTTTGTGGTATGTTATTCTAACACCATGTGTTTGAAGATGATCAGTATTTAAAAACAGTACCCCAATTTTAAAGAAGTATCGAAACATGCTAAAATTTGTGAGTTTAGTAAAAACCTGTCCTGTCTGGCTGGCATGAGGAAAAGTTAATATATATTTAATATACAGGACATGATATTATCGTAATCTATCAAGGATTGATCTTTGAGATTAATCTAAGATTGGTGTATCTGTTTGTGGCATTGTAGTACCAAAACGGATCGACATAATATGATGCTGTTTTAACATAAAATTCAATCAAAAAAACAGATGTAGCTACAATACGAGATGCTTTAGTTTCAACAATATATACAAATTTGATTCTAACATAATTTTGTCAATAATCCCTACATAAAATATGTCAATTATTTGTAAAAATTTATACATTTAAAAGCCAACTATAACTAACTACACCCACAAGTAGGTCAATCATCGCTTTACGCAACTTTATACAAAAACCCTACTATTTTACAGTTCAAGCGTGAAAGCGTAGCTATTCTTAATTTCAGCGGGTTTCTAAAGACTTAAGCGATTCGCTTCAATCGCTTAAATTGGTAAACTTCAAACCAAGCCTCAACAATCTACCCTTAGCTTCATAATTATATACAACGTATAAGCAACCCTCTTTTCGCCTTAAGGCAACATATTTGATATGCGATGACCAAGGATAATATAGATTCATATAAGTATAACATTTACTTATATTATTTTACCACGAACTATAGTCGCATGAAGCTCGTAACACCCTTCTTTTCTGTGTCGGGTGTTAAAAAATCGATACGACATGCGCTGACTACGCAGGTCTTCATACAAAAAATTACCCTACACTACAAAGCTGTCTCAAAGGCGTATTTTCTTTCATATTGCAACTATCCGATCCGACTGGTAGAATTCTATTATTGAAGGAGAATTTTGTTAAATCCTGTTTATCATGGTTATATGTATCCGAGCGAATTGAACACTCGCTCGTACGGAGATGGAAAACATTGTGAGGAAACACAAAAGACACAAAAGGATGATCGCCCACTTGCATTTAGAAAAAACAAAAAAAAAACAGTTACAGAATTCTGAGACTCAGACTGAAAGGTAGCGCCACTGGTTTTAGCTGTATCATAAAGGTATTTAAACATAAATATATACGTGGTAATAATAATCACATACTGAGACGAGAAATAAGTCATCTAGTGTCTGGCATCAAGTCTAGAAGAAATTGGAGCACGCCGCATTGTGACGTAGAAGCTCAATACCGCCAGAGACAGTACGTAGTAGCCACGTGACGTCTTCTAAACGTAATTGTATACGCCCACACCGTTGTGCAAATAACAATAATGTTATTCATAATTTTCGTTTCCTCTCAATGAAATATTTAGTCATTGCATAGTAGTACGAGAATGTCCTAGGATTTTGTAGATTCCGCTGCGAGTCTCAGGCAGTGCTTTCAAACTTAGTATTAGCAAGATGTCGAGGACACCGGACCCCTATCTTCTACCTCTATTGCCATTTTGAGTTAAATTTCTCAGTCTCCTGCCAGAAGCACACTATCTAAATAGCGCAATTTAGATGAGTTCCAATTACCGTTATACCATTGGGATTAATGAGTAAAATAAGGGACCTCTTACAATCATGGAATGTTATTATTGTGTTATTATTTTATTATTACTTTCTACGCTACTCTTTAAATTCTATAGCAACATAAGAATACAACTCGAAATATACTGGTGCGACGCCATCTTGCCTAGACAAGCGTTTTGCCGGGTTCTTGAAATGTTTAAATTCATCAATTAACAGATTGAAAAATACAAATTTTAATGGTTTTAAAAATATTGTTAATTAGCCTACTATAAATCGACATCCAAAGGAAATGGTATCATGAGCTGAATTATAAAAACAATCGTCACCATCATTGTAGTTAGGATTAAAACATTTCCATTATTTAGGCATTTAGACAACGTAATCCGGTAAAACCGGTTTTAACAATGTTTTAGACAACAATAGGGACACGGCTTACTACAAAAGCAACATCGCGACTCTTACTTTATTCAAATTATCTTATAGTATAAAGACTCCCGGTCTTACTATTATATGCGGTGATAAAGCTTAGATGTTATCCCCCCATACTTTAGCGAACAGTAGGCTCTGGTGGTGGACTTAACCCCCCCCACTCCTCGCGCCACTTTACCATCACGCACTGGCGCGGGGCCCACAATCACGTTTCCCCAGGATAAAAAAAGGTCTTACTATGGCTTAGTTAATAGAACTTCGTTTAAGCATTACACATGCATTCGACTCCCTAATATACAATAAAATTGGCGGGCGGCACAGATCATCACTCACTTGTCATTTAAACTAAGTTCCGTGCTCTATACTGTGACGTTATACTCTATCTTCGCATATTCCCCAGAATCGAATAGTCTGGAATTTCGACGTTGAGAATATAACTACTATAGTTATTAGAAAAAATATTATCTAGTTTTAATATCGAAGCTAGCTTCATTTTAAATTTAATAAAACTCGCCAGTTGATGATAAAATTATACAATCTTACAAATTACAATATTTCCAGACGAAGTCTCATAATTCAATATAGATTCTGTTCACAATGGGTATTTGTTTACGATTGTCAATGCCAATATCACTATTGTCTATGGACGATTGCAATCCAATTATCCAATATGTTTAATGAAATTGCTATATTTGCTGAAGTATATCAGAATATTTTTCTAAATATGGAAATCTGCTTCGATAAAACTAAACGCGGTGAGCGGATGTCAATTCATTTATTCCAGATAAAAATGTTTTATTAATAAAAAATATCACAATTATTCATACTACGATGGAACTTGCTGAAATACAGATAAAATATATTTTTTCATAGATGATAATGGACCGTCCCGGGTTTTTTTTAATATTTTCTAGACAATTTCCCGACTAAGTTGTCGTCGGATGTATTAAATAGCTTATGTACGTAAATGTAAATGTACGTAAATGGTAACCCGGATGATTAAACACAACTACATATTAATTTTAACAACTTTTTGTTACAGACCTTGACCTTTACAGCAAATTCCAGAAAGATGCCTCTTTACCTAATGTTGAACATTATTTCCTTTAAATTCGTCATTCTTCAGTGTTACGCTTGCTTGTTCAGTGTTATACCTGTCGTACCCATTCCGGGTTTACGCACACTGTTTCTAGAAATGAATGATTGACCTCACGAAAAATTTAACGGTATTCATAAAATGTGGTTATCATTCGCCACAAAAAGGTCAACCAAAATCAGAATAAACATACAGTATTAGACTCATAATTTGAATATTAAAATTAGCCATGTGACGTAAATTCCGTTATAGCACATAAAATCATCATACTTCACAAATTCATGAATAAATAAGATTTTTTTTGGTATTGTTTGCTAAGACCATAAGGGGTATGTACTAAACTGTATTTTTTCGAGATGTTAATTGAAGAGGCTGAAGTTAGTATATTAAAAACTTCCGTTATTACGGTAAACAATAAAAACGCGCAGCATTGTTTACTTCGCATCGTGTCCTAATTTTCTCAGTACATCCTTACAAGAAGGTTCTGTTTTAAATTGCGTGTGTCATCATAATACAGGCGACACACAATGACATAGGAAATTCGTAAAATACAACATTTTATAGCTTTTATTCATAATATATTTAATTGTAATTACCTCGCATTACGTCAAAACTAATATTAGCGGCGCTGACAGTGTTAGTTCCTATAGTAAACGTTTAGTAGCATTTTAATGCTTTCGTTATAAACCATCATTAAATTAAGTCTGTCTCGCTAGCTGTAGAAGTAATACCACTCCGCTTTGCACTGGATGTCCAGAATAAAATAATAAATATTTAATAACTGACCCCAAAACTTGTCCATTATTGAGCTGTTCCGGCGGCGACTTCACCTGTGAGAAAGTGACTTTGTCGCTAATCTCTCCGCGGCTACCGCGGCTGATCAGCGGCAAGTGGATCTGGGTGCCTTTCGACTCCATCTTCTTATCTGACGTCATCGCTGCCAGATCATCCTGGTAATTCTGAAACGAGGCAAACAAAATTTCAGTAAAGAATATTCACAGAGTTGTAGCTTTCACCGTATATTGAAGACATCGAAAATCAGAAACTTTTGCTTTGTTGTTAGTACCGTTGTCTTTGACATTAAATTATCGAACGATTCGAAGTATTCTTCATGAGTTCATGGCATTCGTTGATCTAGTAATTGAAATCTACCCGGCACTAATGACTTACAATTATATGAGATATTGACTCAATTGATTCGTTATGATAGAACAAAAATCGTGTCGTTATTAGACACGAAGAGCCAATTAGTATAAAAGCTTCGACCTAAGAGAGGTCTTACATAACCTTACGAAGGTGGGGGTTTACGATCATTGTTCTAAACTTAACTTTTATGAGGGGGATTTGAAATGAGTTCAGTGTTCGCCCACGTTGCCATCCGGGGGAATTGCATCTGTACTATTCATTTTTGTATAAACCTAGCGCAGCCTACGTTATAATTTACTCTTTACAAAGTGGCTTTAAAAGTAATTAGGCAGGTTAAGTAAGAGTTAGAATATCTATGTAGTTTCATACTAAAAGGCGGCAAAAACGTCGTCAAACGGACGTCAGATTGGATTTTCTTTGCGTACTACAGAAAAAGTATCTATATTACTCCAGGTAATTTAAAAATTACAATGTTGTAAACCGTCTAAAATTCAAAATATTTGCGTGTTAAATGAATGAGCCTAGAAGATTAAAATCAGCATCTCGTTCGTATTACAATATTAAGTAGCGTGTTTAATCAATTTAAAAGGGCATTTAAGATACACATGTGAATGAGCGTAGAATATTAAAATCTGCATTTAGTTCGTATTAAGTTTCTCAAGTTAAAAAAAAATCATTTTGAAATGAGGGTTAATGTTATTTAAACGTTAATATAATCACACTAGTTGAAGTCAATTATCTTTATTCCCCATTCCTCTTGAAATTACTTAAAACTTAAGTACTTCAACAAACAGCTTAAGGCACCTAGCTTTGATTATCTTATTAAAACTTTGAGTTAATTCTAGCTGAGTTTAAAGCTGGCATATAACTAGATTAATTGAAGTCGATCTAAATTCAAGTCAAGGCAAAGCCATAATTATCTGATGTCGTGTTTCGAATAGAACCAACGTCTTATCTCGTTCTGTACTATTAACTAGTACTACTACAGGTACCTAACAAAAAAATTACCTTTTTAATTTTAATAATATTTTACGTTACGTATTCGCAAAGTTTATATCTTTAAAAAAAATTATATATAAACTTAATATATATTTAAAATGAGGGACACGCAGGGATAAACGCGAAACATCAGTACAGTTTTAATCTATAGCCTAAACCCGTAAGCGCCAAAAATGTTTAGGGAGAATTAGAAAGTAATTCGTTATACATTCTGAAACACGGGCCTAACTTCACATATGGGATATATACTCGCTTTTATATTACATTTAAAGACGATATATATGCCTTTACTCTATTATAAAATATATCACACAGCTGCATTTATTCCATATATTCACAATATTCTCACACAAAAGGTCAAGTCTTAGGTCATCTTAGGAGGGTTACAGGAAAATTAACTTAATTACGAATACATTTAAAAATGGAACCAGTCCTGTCACAGATTATGCATTAGCAGAAACTGGATTTGGTACATATTACAATATAGATCCAAATTTTTAAACCAGTTTCTTTTTTCAGGCAATTCTTATTCTCAAGGTTTGAAACTAAGAGTGAATATTTTTTAAGTATGTTATATAAGCTCTCAAACAAGCACTAGTTAGTATTTAATAATTAGTACTTTGTAAGTCTACTTATAATTAAGCTATCATAACGATAATAAAACAACAAATTAATATGAGTTTTCGGGGTAAATGTTCATTAAAGATTAGAAGTTACGAATAACGAAGGTTCTGTTTAGAAGAATGAGCCTGTTGTTAACTTTATTAATATTATAAATGTGTATACAGTCAAAACCGTTTACGACGACATCGTTTAGAATAACATACCGGTTATATTGACCAAAATCAAAGGTCCCGGCTGAATTCTATTTTATTAGGATCTTAATAAAAACGTCATCAGCTGTAACGACTATCGGTTTTTACGACAAAATATGAGTAAAAAAATATTCTATTAACCAGCTTTGGTTTCAATATAATTTTATTTTCGTTCGAGCCCGTATGTTGAGTATGATCTGTGCTATAAATGAATTATACAATTGGATTTTCTTTTTCATCGCCGTATTGAACCGACTTGATTGATTTGATCCTTGTACTTTTTGCAGTCTTCTAACACTCGTGACTGGGTGCAAAAAGTACGTTTCAATTTAAAGACAGGTCATTGAACCCTGTTAACTAAATAAAACATAGATTTTGTCTGCAAAGCCGTTTATTAAGGCCAGCATTTATTTGCATGGAAAGGTGAATAACCGTGTTTAAAAAATTCCTCGGTCGGGCAAGTCTCTGATATCGATGCACTTAACATTTAATATCCTTGAAGTCATTGTATACATATTAAAACATCACGACTCTGAGATCCAAAAGGAAACTTTAGCTATAATATATAATCTTTGTTAGTATGAATATTTTTGCCTATTTTTCTCAGGGATGGTGTTTTTTTTATTTTTTTATTAGGTCTAATTGTTTACCCCTTTCAAAAAAACTTTAATGGAAAATAGTCGCGTTGAACACTGTAATCGTATGTACTTCATGTTACATATATGGAAAATAATAATGCAATAGATACGGAAAGTATCGGTTTCGTTTTTTCGATCGAATATAAAAATGTTTATTATCGAAATATAAAAATCACTTTCTGATCACATAATATCCGATTACAATATGTCTTTATCTTCGCTTCGTTTTATCACTTTCAATGCTTAATGCTAAAAAGTGAAGGATGTGTGTGTGTTACCACGTTATACTGTCACAAAAATTTCGTTGCTGTGCGGAAGAGTTATTTATGATAAAAAATGTTCAGCCGTACAGCCAGGCTAGACCGCTAGTCAGCAGTATTAAAAAAGTAAATTTGATTTCTTAGTCCTCAAATATAATATAAATTAGCGATAAAGTTAAGTTAAGTAAAAGACATAGACAAAACTTTTATAAATATTAATCACTAAACAATATTTAGATAAGCAACATAAAGGTAATTTAGCAAAACCCTGCGTAGTTTCAGTAAATGTTCCAAAAGACGGCTTAGGATTAACAAAGGAATGATTCTTGCTCAGTATTCTTATTGCGGAAACGCGTCAACATACCAAGGCACACATACACAACATAATTTAAATTTTGTCGTATAATAAAAGTATAAAGAGTAGGGCTATTAACAGTAATGTTCAAATACTAATCAATTTTACCCCATACTCTGAGTAGTAGAAATTAAGTCTAATTATTTTGATCAGCCTTTATGCCTATCTATGGAGTTCCACACGAAATGTGCCAAATATATCTAATATATAAAATTCTCGTGTCGCGGTGTTTGTAGTTAAACTCCTCCGAAACGGCTTGACCGATTCTCATGAAATTTTGTGTGCATATTGGGTATGTCTGAGAATCGGACAACATCTATTTTTTATCCCCCTAAATGTTAAGGGTAGTCCACCCCATTTTTTTTTAATTTTTAGATATTTTTTTTTATGATACAGCATTAAAAAATACATACAAACCCTAATTTTCATTTTCCCCTCTACGATCAACCCCTATTTTTTATTATAAATGATATACATGGCAAAACGAATTTGCCAGGTCAGCGAGTAATCTATAATTAATAGGCGTTTCCTGGATTCACTCGTTAATCCGCTCGTAGCCTCATGGTAAATAGCCTTCCTAGATTTAAAAAGCAAAATTAATTAAATTACCGCGAAATGTATAGAAAAATTACAAATACAGGTTTTTTTGTATAATCATATTTTAGAACAATTTAGCAAATACTCTTAACACTACTGACTAATAAGATTACTAATAAAATGTAGGACGAAATAGTTTAAAACTGTCATTGACTATAGTCGAATCGCTTTGATTTCCAACATTTCATATATAGAATCTATTCAGTATGACTAATTAATCACACAGGTTTTCGGTATTTATTATTTATTTGTCTTTTCTTACAAATCGCATTGAACTTACTCGAAGGTTATTTTTTAACATCACTAAAAACGACCACTGCACTGAAAACTTTTACAAGCACTGCGTAATCCATAATCAGTGATTTCTATCTAATTACCGGCTTAGTAACTTCATTTAGGATATCGCCTGATAATTACTATGTATTTGATAATGAGAATATTTCAATAGGTACCTAAAATGGGAAATATTTGAATATTAATTTTATGATGACTGGCAGAAATTTGTTTATGGCGCGATGTATGTCGTTTCGGACAAATCGTAGAGCCAGAGAATTTTTTATATTCTTTTAACATTTTTGTTTTCCGATGGTCGATATACCGACGATTTTTTTAATGAGTACAATCACTACGCTAAGCTTTTAAGTCAGTATAGTATTAAGAAATCTTTACTTCACCGTTATAAATTCAAAAATGTAAGCAGCAAATAGAAAGGTTTTTCTTGACCTTGTAATTTCTGGAAAGCCAACGTCGGGAGGGTTACTAGAGTCAGAACCTTCAGAATTACAATTATCGTCGTGGCATTCACACGATATCAATGATCGATAATACACATATTTAAATCAAATCAGTTCATGGCGAAGGTTTAATACTAAGTTTATCGTAAAATTATAGATTATTTATCGGTTGCTTTGTCGTCCGTGACGTCAATTTGGTTCCTAGCCAAAAAATTTTTTCGCGTTTGGATGAACAAATCTCCATCTTCATCGATCCTTAATGTGTCGATTAAAGAGTTCGTAGCATTTATCAACAAATATTAATTTTATAAAAATACTAGCTGCCCCCACGAGCTATGTTTCTCCTTAATGTGATTTTTCTTAGCCTACCTTTTTAGTACATACCAACATGGAACATTTTGCTATGCTCCCCTCGAAAATGTTCAGTTTTCCGGAATGAAAACTTTTTAGGTTGTTCAGTGAATTTTTCACTTTATAAACCTCAGAGTTCAAGTTATAAGTTCTTAACTAACAAATAAAAAATAGGAGTTGATCGTATGCTGTCATAAAAAAATAAAAACAAAAAAATTTATCTAAAGAGTAAAAAAAATTTTTTTGGGGAGGACCCCTTATCACTTAGGGATTTGAAAGATAGTGATTCTCAGACTTACTGAATATGCATAAAAATTTTATAAGAATCGGTCGATCCGCTTTGGAGGAGTATTGGAACGAACATGAATTTTATATATTAGATTTTTAATCCCGTAATCAGGGCCTGATTAACCCTTAGGCTAATTAGGCTGCAGCCTAGGGCGCGACGATCTAGAGGGGCGCGGGCGCGCTAAAATCGTGTCTTCGCTAGTATAGTCCCCTGCATATTCCAACTAGACCAAAACACTAAATAAACTGTGAACTGGAAAAAATTAAAGTAAAGAGACCTGTCTTAAAGTGCACTTTAAGACAGTTAGTAAGTAAGTAGACTTTAAGTCAGCTAAAAAATGGTTTCAAAGTGTGCAAATTAAAGGACAGCGTTAGTTTCGCTTGCAGATCGATCTGAAATCTTTTATAGATAGCCATGTTAAAATTTTCACACTAGAAAAGAAAGTCAAAACTACTTTTTAGACGGACCGGGAACACATCTGTCATCTGGCGGGGGCGCATCCTGACAAATAGCCTAGAGCGGTCAGAACTCTTGATCAGTCTCTGCCCGTAATGGTTGAAAGGTGTTACTGATTCGGATATATACCAATACGTACAGAAAACTTTTAACGCAGAGCAAAACAAAAGATATCGCATTCATTTGTCATATAAACAATCAATTACGAACATTCATGCGACGATGCCGCAATAATTGGTTCAAACCGCAGCCACCGCACGAGTATTGCGGTTTTAATTTATAGGTACAATAACAATACATAAAATTAGGATAACAAAGTGGGCAGTACAAATTATCATTCTCAGCAATATGAGAGTGGTGTAACAATTTATAAATTTATCAAAGAACTATCAATCAATGGACTTACACTGCCAGAAGGCTCAAGTTTTAAAATTCTGTACGCTCTGGATTTGGTCTAAATTGTGTTCGGAAATATCTCAACAGGCAGCTGGTTCTTTAAAGTTTATTTAATTATTCAACAATGGATGCCAGTAATTGTAATATAGTATATAATAAAATATATAACATAGTGGTAGTGTGTGGAAAAAAGCTCCTTAAAAACTCTACGAAACGTCAAATAATGAAAGCATAAAGTTTTATCTACTAGATAAAACAATATCGTGAAAATATTGGTAGCAATTGTAGTTCATACTTGGACACGTTAGCCCCGTCTCATTTTCCTCGGACAAGCACAAAAGCTGGCACGTCCGCATAGCAGGCGCAAAAAAATTAACGATACAAATATGAAAGTCTTTACTATAACTTTGATTTTGTTTCCTTTGTTGTTACACAAGCGCTAATTAAAAATGTAAGTTGGCACCAGGTAGATAGAGCCGGCGACACCAGAGCTGGTGCTTTCCTCGCTCAGGAAGGAACCGTGGAAATGCTGCCAGCATTAAAGATAGTTTTCAATTTATCAATTTTTAATAATATTGTAAATACTCTTTATTTCGTCACTGTAGAATGATAACCTCGTATGTCAAAAAACATTTTTTTTATTCTTAGACTCTTATGTCATTTAACTGGTATAATCATGAAGTAAGGACTTATTTATGTTATTAATAAATATGTCCTTTTTACTAACTAAAGCTATGGACAAAAACACATAATAATATTTTAACGAACATTGACGAAATGAAACATTTTTTTCGTTTCCTGTAATGTTAGCGCATTAGTCTCGACAATAAATCTTAGGGTAAAAAACAAAGGATTGATAGTGTATTGTTTTTTATCATACTATTATAGTGCAATAATAATTGATTATAATATTACCTACTCATTGTAATATCCATTAAAACGTAATGGAATATTCATTTCTCATTGCAACAAAATTAATGAAGTGTTCTAAGAACGCGATCATTGTAAGTGAATTGAACGTAATAGAACGGAATTTCTATTAAAGTCAATTAATATCAGTGACTTACAAGTTGAGGATCCGTTGCCATGGTAACAAAGAATTGTTAATTCAAACTTGTACGGTAGTTAGTACGTAGTTATAGCTGATGTTACAGCCGTACGTGGATTCAACAATCACTTACAATTATAATGTTTAATATACATAATTTAAATCCTTGACTTGACTTGAGCTCCTATGTCCCGCAGGTGGGGGGAGAAGGGCAGAGGGCATCTAGCGTAGAAAACCATACTGATAGGTCCTAGGCAGCTCTCTTAATTTTACTCCACATCATTCCAACTTCCTTCACCTCTGCAATGATGCTTGTTGCCGGGTCTATTTGGGCGGACAAAAGGATTCCATTCGAGGGCTTAGGGAGCGTTCAAGTATTACGTCACGCAATCTTTGGGGATTATTGACCGCCCCCCCCATGTAACGCGCCGTAACGTTTTTCTGTACCCAAGTATAGTAAAACGTTTCGTGACCACATAGTGACTCTTTATACCTAAACACCATTATGTGGTGTAAAGTACTGGAAAGTCGAAAATAATATTAACAATAACGCGTAATTCAATTCCCCGTTTAAGGCTATGTTCAGATGGCAAAAACTTGACGCGCGTTTTCAAATCGCGCGACAACACACTTTCTTTTTCACACTTTCACAACACGTTTATAATATAACCACAAAATAATAGCCTCTTCCACGTCCAATTTCTACGTTCTACCGAACTAGACTGACGAGTACTCTCGCAACGCGCATTAGCGCTCATCATCTGAACCCTCTTCAAATTTGATCGCGCGTTGACGCGCGTTACATGTGAACATAGCCTTAAACGTTTTACAAAAGGTTTACGTAATACTTAAACGGTCCCTTACTTGGCAATGTGACTTGGAACCCTCCCAGGCCTATGGCCCACTCACTTCCACTTTCGGCGTTGTTTAGTTCTGTCAATTGGCACCCAATATTCCAAGATTTGGAATCCTTAGTTACGACTTAATCATCAAAAAACTATTGAAGGACAAACATATATTTTTGGAACATATGCCGTGTTATATGTTATACAACAGCTTAATTAGCATATTGTCAACCCCTATGTACAACAGTGATGTAACCAGTACTCGCGTACCTAACGATCCACCCTGGTATAATGGTATTAACCCGATCGATACA